GGGTTCATTTGGATAATGAATATAACAACTCAACAATCCATAGTTGGGGCTAATCCCTCATAACTATTTGAACCCCAAATCTAACATATGAATCTACTCAGACATAGCCAAGAGATTCATAGCAAAAGAATAAGATGAAAAGAAAATGCTTTTATTGCTAAGTATAAAATAGAATACAAAACTTGGTTCAAAACTTCATGTCTCTCTAAGGCTCATAGGCATAGCTATAAATATGGAGTACAATTAGGTTAAAAACTCGTCAGGGGCAGTCTTGTAATTTGGTGAGAACTTGGGCTTCAAGTTGGCCAAATAAATCTTGCTCATCACGCTCTGTATCGATCGATGGTACATGGTGTACATCGATCGATGGAGTATCTCGACTTCAACTTCTACAGAATCGTCATCGATCGATTACACAAGGTGTGTATCAATCGAAATGTGTCTCTTAATGTCGGATCTCCATAGTCATCTTTGGAAAACTCTTCTTTAAGCACCAAAAGGCACATAAATCATCACTTTACCACAAAATGCTCCTGAACCTGAAAACATACCTAATAGACTCCAAAACATAGATAATTATAATAAAAACATAGTAATACCATGACCAAAAACGAGTCAAAATCATGGTATATCACCCCCCTTCAGGATCAAGAGGATTTTCCTCAGCAACTTCAGTTTCAGACCCCTCTTGGTCTCTATCACTAGTGGAACTTGCTTGGTCTTGTCTTGGTTCAGTCTCAACCCTTTCCCTTGGTATACTGATGTCAATACTTTCCATAACACTTCTCAAGTTCTCAGCTCTATCCGAAGCAGATTGTGATAAGTCTCTTACTTCATCCCAACTCCTCTCATCATAGTAGCCTTTAGATTTCATAAAGCACACATCTCTAGAGACTAGAACCCTCTTAAAATATGGTGAATAACACTTGTATCCCGTTTGGTGAGGTGAATAACCACTGAACATTGCCTTGGTGGTCTTTGGTTCCAGCTTGTTTCTTTGCTCTCCTGGAATTAAAAAAAAACACAAGCACCCAAATACCCTAAGGTGATCAATAGATGGTCAGTTGTTGTTTAATACCTCATGTGGGGACTGATCATGTAAGACTTTGGTGGGGATTTTGTTGATCAAATAGCAGGCTGTCATCACTACATCTCCTCAAAACCTCTTTGGTACATTTGTATGGAACATCATGCTCCTGGTCACCTCCATTAGATGTCGATTCTTTCCTCTCAACCACACCATTTTGTTATGGTGTGTAAGGTCAGCTAGTTTTCTGAATGATCCTATGCTGAGCCAAATATTGCTTGAATGCTTGACTAGTGTACTCTCCACCATTACCAGACCTGAAAATTTCAACTTAGCATTGAAATGGTTGGAAACATGGTTATGGAAGTTCTTGAATGCCTACAACACCCAGTCTTTTATCTGAATTAGAGTCACCCATATGTATTTTGACTTCTCATCAGTGAAGGTGACAAAGTACCTGTGATTCTCTCTGGAAATACAAGGTGTTGTCCACACATCAAAATGAACCTGGTTGAAACACTTCTCATAGATAGTGCTAGACCTTGGAAAGACTGTCCTACAATGCTTCCCCAAGATACATGCCTCACATTAATCATTTTGAAACACCATACCCGGAAACATCAAGTTCAAGGCTCTAGTATGGGGATGTCCCAATCTAGAGTGCCATATGGTACTCTCAACCCCATTAGAAGCACTGATCAGGTAGTGAGCATGCGATGCACCAGATATCTTAGTTTTTTTCTAAGTGATACAGTTCCTGATGGATGTGCCCTCTACCAATAACATGCCATGTCTTCAAGTCTTGAAACTCAACCTCATCATGTCTAAAGACAACTTGACAATTCAGATCAACGGTTGCTCTTTTCACTGATAGCAAATTTGATTTAAACTGAGGCATATATAAGGCAGTTGATTCTTTATCAAACAACCTAAGGTTCCTGATCCCTTCTATCTTAACCTTATCACCATTTTCTGTAAGCACATTCCCTGAGGCAGGTTTGATATTACTAACCAGGTTCCTATCACTAACCATGTGATGGCTAGCTCCTGAATCTACAATAATGGGTTTAGAGTCATGAGAATATTACCAACCTCCATGGGTGAGATAAGGGACTTGGCAGCTTTTATAAAGGAAACAAACTATCCTTCAGAGCCATCCTCTCTGAAGTTTCAGCCTCCATGATATGGCTGTCCCAAACTCCATGACTTCCCAAGGTAACTCTGGCAACTTTTGACCATAAAAGAAAGTTAGGACCCTCTAGGGTCACTGGAATGAAGTTCTCCTTCTTCATCTTCTTGGTCGAAATCACCTTTCCATTTTTGGCAATTTCTGGAGCTGGAAATGATGAATAGCTGAAGAACAAGATGAATTTTTCCAAAAATAGAAATGAAACTCAGAGAATATGTGGAAGTAAGTAAAGAGAGTAGAAAGACTTAGGTCTCAAGAGCATACTGCTCTGATACCATGTCAGAATTAGAGAATTAGAAAGTTTTGGATGAGATTATGCTTGAGATTATCAAAGAGAATAAGAAAGAACTGAGAGAGAGAGTTTAGGGAAGAAGGATAAGCTTTATTCCATCACTGATTTAGTTGTTACAGGATTTCTATAAATAGAATAGAGAGTTGACAAACAGTACAATATGAAGTAATAAACAAGGGAGCTCTGGTCTAGGTCTGGGCACGTTCATTTGGACGGAAAGGGACAGCTCCTTCTCTTCCCTTCTTGCCAAGACATATGACTCTGGTTTGACATAAAGCCCCAACAGTTCCTTCTACTTGCTTCCACATGTTTATTTAACTCCAAAGCTTAAGGAACCTTAGACCATATATTATAATTTCTGCTCCTTCTTTTACTTGCCTTTCAATACTTCACTGCAATTCGCTGCACTTGATTGCATTTCACTTTTACTTTACTTTATTACTACTGTTCTTGTTTATTGCTTCATCTCAACATATTGAAATGAAGACCCAAAGAGATTAATTCATTATGGGAACTGATGCTCTCTGCGTGCTCAACATTTACTCTCTTAGGAAATGATGATCCCTGCATGTTCATCATTTAAATTATTCATGCAAGAGCATGCAAGAGCATGCAAGAGTTGTTGTATTTCCTATATAAAGATTGTGGTTTCTCTCTTGTAATACACCCTGAAAATACAGAAAATAGACAAGTTCTCTTATTTTTTTAATTCTTTCTCTTTTTACTTGTGTTTAATCAATGTTCCCAATGAAGAGTTCTTGAGGATCACGGTTCTGTTGCTGCCTCAGGGCAGCTTAATACTTGTCTAGATACTCACTAAACTATTTGTATCCTTTTCTTAACTCTAGCTTACTGATTCTTAATCTCTTTATCTCTAGTGCACAAACTCTATGTGTTGTGTTACTTTTTAAGGATAAGTCTCAAACTAGAGTGTTAATCCCCTTTGTATAACCGATTTACTCTATAGTATTTATGGTTGTATGATAGGTTAATTGTGTGGATTCAGCTACAAGTTGGCTGTCTCTTCTCTTATTGAGTAGGAGTTCTATTTTGTGGGTGAAGGAGATTCAGCACAAGTTGATTGTATTCTCTCTTGATATAAGTCGATCTCTCATAAATTCTCACATTCGATACAACGGTAATACCATGGTGGGCTTGGATGAAGAGATACCATTTACCTGAAGCTGAGCCTCTCAATGGTTTTTGTTCCTGTCTCAAATACTTTAAAGATCAAAACGCATGCTATAACTAAGATGATACGTTATGTTGTAGGTCGTGCTGCGATGATAGGGTTCTTTATGACGTACTTTGTTGATAGTCTTACTGGAGTAGGTCTTGTTGATAAAATGGGGAACTTTCTCTGCAAAACGCTTTTGTTCGTGGCTGTGGCTGGAGTTCTCTTCGTCCGCAAGAATGAGGATTTGGATAAGTTGAAGAAGCTTTTTGATGAGACGACATTATATGATAAACAATGGCAAGCAGCTTTGGAAAGATGGTGAGGAGGACTCATCATCATCGTTGGGTTCAAAGAAGTGAAGAGAGGAAACAGAGACTCTTGCTTCTTTTTATTTTATTTTTATATGATGCTGTAATTAGTCACAAAGAAATAAAGACTTTTTAATATGAAGAGGGTTTAAGGTGTCTTCTCAGTATATGGTTTTATATAAACATGTAAGCCTTCCTTTTCGCGTCTCTGCACCAAAACCTTACAACAACATTGAGAAAACTGACCAACAAGATACATTTAGTTCCAGGGAGAAAGTGATAGAAAAAAAAAACTTCTGCTCTTACTTGGCTCATGACGCATGAACTTATATTTTGTCCAGTAGAAGAACTTTAGCTGTTAGTTCCACTCCCAAGACTGAGAAGCCTACTCGTTTCTTTTTCTCCAAGAATAGTTTCAAACTGTTCACTGGGATTTCAAGGATAGGATCATGGGAACCCATTTCTCGCCAGCTAGACTCTGCAGAACAGAGAGAGAGAAAAAGATAGAGAAGAAAAAACTCTTGAAAGTAGTCTCTCCGAAGTTAACTTTTTCTTTTTCTTTCCAAGGTCAGCTTTTTCTATCAGTACAACAGGACGGTGAGATTTTTTTTTTTCTCAACAAGACTGTTAGCTATTCGAGCTTGAAAGTTTAAACTGTTTGATGGATCCATGTTTTCCGATTTATCGACAATTTTCAAGGAAAATAGTGGTTTGTCACTTGTACCGAGTGTCTATCTAAAAACTGAAATGGAGGCAAACAAAGGGAAAAAAAAAAGGGAAAATTGCCAAAAAGGGACAAAATAACCATACTATTGTCCCCTTAGAACAAACTCAACTTTTGGCATGTTTGGACCTTCAATACCCTTTTAGTCTTTGAAAATTCATATTAATTTTTTTACAAGGTAAAAAATTATGGAAAAATAGTAAACTTGATGTAGATAAGCATGTTCATATAAGAAAAATATTTTTGTTTATAAAATTTCTTTAAATTGTAAATTCAAAAATGGAGTAAATGTGTTAGTATCTACGATCTACCATCTACGGCAGTGTAGAACATGTAATCTAACAGAAACACAGCGTTCTAAAAGGCTTAGGATGCACAATATACCAAAAATATATATAACTACGAGCTCAGAATATATAATCTACCAAAGTCTCTGTAATCTACGGTTTTGGTTGACTGTAAGTCCTAGAGATAAACAGTTATCTAGATCGGTAGGAAGTAGATTCTTTACATTGTTTTTCTATCTACAATCGTGGTATACCATATCCTAGTTCTTCGTTTAACTTCTACGGTGGTAGAATGTACGTTCTGGAAAAAAAATAAACAAGATCCGAAAATCTAGCCAAAAACGGTTAACTAATATTCTTTAAATCTTTTTAATATCCTAATTTCCTTTTTTAAGTTTTCTTCCAAAAAAATTGAAAACCTCCTCTTCTCACACGATTTAGGGATTCATCGTGTGTGTTTTTTATCTTCTCTTCT